AATTACAAAGAAGAGTCCAAGAACCTGAAATCATACTATGTTTTGTGGAAAAAAACAACAGGAAACAGAGTGAAAGCAGACTGGCTTTTTTAGTCACAAGAATGGGATAAATTGTGTCTTTCCTTCACGTCCTCAGTGCATCAACTAACAGTGCAGTACCTCTGCATGGTGGATAGCTATGGAAAACAGTACATTTAAGGATTCAGTTTAGGGAATGGGAGATTACATTCCTGGTTAATATTACATTCTTATCTCAAAAGCAATCCTCCTTGACCTATGGCTGGAGGCAGAGACATACTTCAGCTAGCAATCTTACTCTGCACCATGTGTGACAATCTCCTTGTAATTAAAACAGCCCCCATGTTTGGTTGAATGTTACTGCTTTGTTATTCAGATTTCCTGTCTTTCAGAGGTGACAGTCTTCATCAGTACAATTTAATTGATAAATATTCACTGAAAATTTGATTACTTGAAGAAATCTTTCCAACAGGACTCTCACTCATACACAGATTTCCCCTAAAACATTGGAGTTATATCATTATTCATGACAAACATACTTAACTCTTTTTTTTAGAAGCAATTTCAGGGATTTTATTAATGGTTTGTCACTCTGTGGTACATAACTTCCCATATACCTAACTTACTGACCAAAATACCTCATTAGCAGTTTTTATAAAATGCAGTAGGTAGTATGCAGTAGTAACTCTACCCTGCTGTGAATATTCACAATGGTCAAACCTCAGAGCTCTGAAAGGGCCTCCAGCCTTTTGCTGGAAATCTGACTTGAGCTAGTTTTCAAAAACCTCTACAGTAGCATTTGTCCCCCCAAGAAAATCTAATTCACACACAGTAAAACACAAAGACTTAATTGTAAAAAAAATTACTTACCTCACTCAAATCCCTTTCTTCACTTGCTGCTTCACTAAAAGAAGAAAAATAATCATAATTACTTAGAAGTACCAGAGGAGATTTAAAATACTTTATTAAAAAAAACAGTTCTTCAATAAAAAATCTTGATCGGTTCGCGACTAGAAATTTGAGTCAACCTAGTCATTTATATCATCCTGACATTCATCTTAAAACTACCAGTTAATAGTATTTTCTATCATTTCAGTGTCATAATCCTTTCTAATTAGAAATATTTAAAAACACAGGATAACACTACAGACTTTCATGTAAGGGATAAATTCTAACTATATCTTGAGCTATTCAGACAAAACACTAACGTATAAAGTTAAAAAAAAAGCAAACACCACAACACAACTCAATTAAAATGGGTGGTTTTGATCTCACATATCAATCAATTTCTAGCTTTAATTGCTAATAGTCTGTATTTTGGAAAGCTTTTGCTATAAGGAATGTTTGACATGCACTATACTGATTACTAAGCTTAACATCAAAATTTTCAATTGTTATACAGCTACAGTTTAGGGTATTAAAAAAAGGAATCTATTTGAATATACTAAGGCTACCATATCCGCTGTTAATTGTCACAAACTAATAATAAAGACCCTTGAAGATTTTTCCATCCCACACTTTAAAAAAAGAAGTTATGCTAGAGAAACAAAGCCAGGAATATTTGCCAAAGTCAAGGCTTTGAAGTAGTCTCTAAGCCATCAATAAGTAATCAAGGTTATCAAAGAAACTGCAGATTTGTTGGAATCAATGACATTAATTAAATTTTAAAAACCAATCCATAAAAGTCTCTGTGGAAGTACTTCTTAATAGAAGATTATGATTTAAAAACAAAAACACATTTATAAATATTAAAGAAAATATTTAGAATACATCCAGGTCTGTAGTTCTCATGTCAGACCTGAAGAAGCAGAAGCCACAGTGAAAGGTAAAATAACCTACCTGGGATTTGTGACATGGCTATAAAGGCAACTGCCTTATGAACCTCTAGGAGTGTTTTGAAAGGGCTACACGTGGTCATGGATGATGTCTCTGACATATTTGGACTCACAAAGAATCTTTAACCAAAGGTTTTTAAGGAAAATAAGTAGTCCTGGGGTGATGGGAAAGTCCATGCACGAATATACAGATGGGTAAAAGATAGGAAGAAGCAAACAATTACTTCTTGCAAAGGAGGAAGATCCACAGTAGTCTGTGTTGGGGCTTGAGCTGTTCAGTGAACTCAGTAACAAAGCAGGGAAACAGCCAGGTCACCAAGTTTTTTGATAACACTAAGTTGCTCAGGATAGTAAAGCCAAGAGCAGATTGAAGAACTGCAGAAGGACTTGAATGATGAGAAAATAAAATGATAGATGAAATTTAAAGCTATGCACATAAGGAAAAGGAGTCCCACATACAGAACAAGGAGCTCTCAGCTGACCATCATTGATCATGATGTATCCCTCAAGGGTCAGTATGGGACCCAGCACTCTTTAATATCTTCATCAATGACATAAACTGTGGGATCGAGCAGACCCTCAGTAAGAGAGCAAGCTGAGTGATGTGGCTGACAGGCCCAAGGGATGCGATGCCATCCAGAGAGACCTGGACAAGCTGGAGGAATGGGTCTGTGTGAACCTCGAGGTTCAACAAGGCCAAGTGCAGGGTCCTGCACCTGAATCAGCACAACCCCTAGTATCAGTACAGTCTGATAATAGCAGCCCTGCTGAGAAGGACTTGTGATGAAAACCTGGACATGAGTTGGCAATGTGCACTTGCACCCCAAAAGGCAAACTGTATCCCAGGCTGCATCTAAAGCACTGTGGCCAGCAGCTCAAGGTGGGGGGGGATTCTGCCCCTCCACTCTGCTGAGACCCCACCTGGAGTCCTGCATCCAGCTCTGGAGCCCTCAGCACAGGAAAGACATGGACCTGTTGGAGCGGGTCCAGAGGAGGGACACAACAATGATCAGAGGGATGGAACACCTCTCCTGTGAGGACAGGCTGAGAGAGTTGGGGTTGTTCAGCCTGGAGAGGGGAAGGCTCCAGGGAGACCTTCTTGCAGCCTTCCAGTACTTAAAGGGGTCTTATGAGCAAGCTGGGGACAGACTGTTCAGCAGAGCCTGTTGCAATAGGACCAGGGGTAATGGTTTTAAACTAAGAGAGGGTAGATTTAACTAGAGACAAAGAACAGATTTTTCACAATGAGGGTGGTGAAACGCTGGCACAGGTTGCCCAGAGAGGTGGTAGATGCCCCATACCTGGAAACATTCCAGGCCAGGTTGGACTGGGCTCTGAGCAACCTGATCTAGTTGGGGATGTGCCTGCTCATTGTGGGTGGGGCTGGATTAGATGACCTTTAAACGTCCCTTCCAACCCAAACTATTCTAGGCTAAGGAAATTCTTGGAGTTGATATATTTTCATGGAATTGTCTCAGCTCAATACTCAACAGCCGTTAAAAAGGCAAATAAAAAGTTAAGTAGTATTTAAAAGAAACAGGGAAGAAAACAGAGACCATACAGATTTGTGATTCACCTTATTTTTAGAAGTTGTTTAGATTTGGAAAAAAAAAAAAGTAATTTCAGAACAGAACTAGGTTTCAGAAGAGCAACAAGAATAACCACAGGTACAGAACAACTGCTGTGTTAAGAAAAGTTGAGTAGGCTTTAGAAGTTTAGGCTAGAAAAGAGATGGCCTAAGAAGGGATTGTGGTAAAGACAGGTATAAAGGGACTGCTCACCGTCCCTTCCAGCATAAGTTAGAATTTATCAAATTATGCCAGTAGCAGCCAGGTTCAGAACAAAAATGGGAGGTAATTCTGCTTGTAGCAGACAGGAAGGTGCAGATGTAAATAATATTACAAGAAACTGAGTAAGTACTTTGATGAGAGCTCTATGAAGGATTACTAAATAGTTGAGCCACATAATTCTGACAGTCCCCTGAGCTGAAAGTAGATGGAGACTGGGAGACTACTCAGGTAAACATTAGGCTTGCCCTGCTTTTACTCTTTCTTGGGCATCCACTGATGGCCAATGCTGGTAACACCACAGTGGGTTAGAGGAACATTTGGTCCAATCCAGCATTGCCATTCTTAATTCCTTAAAGAGTAACAGACAAACAATGAGTATACATGATGTTAATCAGCTAACATCCTGAAAGTAAATCTGTTCTGGAAATTGGAAACCATATATTAACCTTTTGACAGCAGGAACTGAGCTTAGATGTGGATCATCCTTCAGTAGATCATGACTACTCTTACTTTTTCCCTTCATGCTCTGTTAAAAAAAAAAAAAAGAAAAAAGAACTTTGAGTGTTTGAGACAATAGACGGTGAAAAAGGATAATGGTAAGAAAAAGGTAACTTGTTTGCTTTAGCCTAACCAGTAAGCAAAACACTTGTAATAACAGAAGAACAAAGAAAGGGTTCCAGAAAGAGAAGCATCAAACTGATCCCATGGATTTAAAAGGTATTTTTGCAATAGCAATGCACTTAATTTTAAAGGAAAGAGAAGAAGGAAAAAAAAAAGAAGAAAAAAAAAACCTGGGAGGTAAGAACCACAGAGCCAGTAGAACAACCACACAGCCATTCACACACCATTCCTTCCACCACCTCAGCAGGATGTGGGAGAGAAATGGAAAAAAGGTAAAACTTGTGGGTCGATACAAAGACAGTTTAATAAAATGGGGGGAAAAAAGAGAATAATAAGAATGATAATAAAGATACACAAAATAAGTGATGCACAATGCAATTGCTCACCACCTGCCAACTGAACTGATGCTCAGCCAGTTCCCAAGCAGCAGCCCTCCCTGGACAACTCCCCCAGTTTACATACTGAGCCTGACGCCGTATGGTATGGAATATCCCTTTGGCCAGCCTGGGTCAGCTGTCCTGGATGTGTCCCCTCCCAGCTTCCCATGCACCCCCAGCCTCCTTGCTGGCAGGCCAGCATGAGCAGCTGAACAGTCCTTGATTGCTTAGGAACAACTAAAAAAATTAGTGTGTTATCAACATTATTTTTATTCCAAATCCAAAACACAGCATTATACCAGCTATCATGAAGAAAATTAACTCTATCCCAGCTGAAACCAGGACACAACTCAATGAACTACCATGTACAAAGCAGTACTTCTCAACTGGTAGATCACTAATTAGCCTCCTAAGGAAAAAAAAGAAATTAACAACCGGCAATACATCAACCTGCAACACATCATGCAGAAATCATCTATGGTAGCAAGCACTCAAATAAACCTAAGAACACATAAGATCTTCAGGGGGAAAGATTGCAGTAAGAAAGAATTCCCCAGGCTAATCCAAAAAGTACACTTAAATTTCAGACTGAAATAATACTGAAAATCTCTATTACAAAAACAGCCTGTATTGTGACCCAAATGCCTCCATTTCAGTTGCATTAGATAATCCTTTCAGGAAGGCAGTTGTCTCCAGCCCTGTCTTCTGTCCCATCTCTTGCTGCTCCTGACTGGACTCTCTGCATGGGGACCCTGGTCTTGGTTATTGCTTGCTGTGCCCAGGACTCTCAATGGACCTGTTACCACCAACCAACTCTGCCTGCTGTATCCACCCTGTGGGATTGTGCCCCTTCTGGTGAGTGCGCTGCCTGTGCTGGAATCACTCTTGTCCTTCCTCATGCAGCCATTCTACTCCTGCCACTCCTTGACACAAAATTCCCTAATCCTGTGATTTCTACCTTCTATAAACTCCTCGGGTACACTAATTTTCTAAGATTCGTACCCTCTGTAATATAACCATTTACAGACCTCCTGATACAGAAGACACTGTTAGACCTATAACTTTTAAAAGACACCAATGGCCCTAATCCCTTGTTTAATCCCTTTTTGGAAGTATTTATACTTCTCACTTTAATCATGTTCTGTAGCATAAATGTTCACAACTTTAATTCCAAGAGGGAAAAATACTATTTCTTTTTATATTGATTTACTTAATTATCTTTTAGTCTTAACTTTTGTATTGTAAGAAATAGGGAATAATCATTCTGAGCTCTCGC